TCCAGGTGAACTGACAGATTGAGAAGTTGCACTCTCCATGTCATTATCTCAACATTAACCTCCCTTTCTGCAAATGCCGGGTCCATCTCAGCCCCGCTCGAGAGGCCAAGTCAGTTTATGAAACAGATGAAGTAGGAAATGGTCTGTGAGATGAGATTGGGATGCTGTAGAGAAGGGCTTCTTTGAACACTGTTACATTCCCATCATAAACCACATTAGAAGCAGCCTTCATGCCCGAGATCTCTGGTTATTTGAGTCTTTATTACTAGTGATTTCCTGACTGGTACACCTGCAACATCTGGCAGAGAGATCCCTGTAGGTAGTGTTAAAGACGCTCACTGAGATTAAGAAGATTCTTGGTATTTCTCGACTCTTGTATGACAGCATCAAAACCCCCAGGAACTGCCGAGTGGGAGTAATGAACTCGATCTTTTAAAAATTAAAAAAATAATAAAGTGGAATTCACTTAACTGTTTTGCCTAAAATTCTATCATTAGAGAAATTTGGGTGAAACACTTGTCTTTAAACCTCTTATTCAACACATAAGGATTCCTAGGACAGGTAGCATATTTTTTATTTACACCTTAACGGGAATAATTTCGTAAAATGCTTCTCAGAAGCAGGGAATGAGAGAGTGGACTGTGACTTTGATGGGGTAGAGTGTGGGCACTTGACAAGGAGGGCAGTATCACAGAGGATGGCTAGAGGCAGCAGGTACGCAGGCCAGCCCACCAGGAGTGAGGCTACCTGGAAGGGCACAAGGCAAAACTAGTCCCCGTTCACTTCTCGTGCGCACACGCATGCTCTGTTATAGGCACTTGGATAGCCTTGATGATGTGTGTGGCATATTCCTATTGAATGGGGCTATTTCACATATACTTGACCAGTTGTAATGAAAAGCCAGGTGATCTATATGAGAAAATTAAGATTAAATATCCTAATTTTACTTGGCGTTATTTTGCTTTTTTATAAAAGTCTGTTTAATTTTGAGAGCAAAGCTCAGGAAATGGTGCTGTTTCCATGCCTGCTTAAGAGGTGAACCTGGCCAGTAGGAGAGACCTTCCTTCCTCTACCGAGGGGCTTTTTCCCAGTCTGTTTTGAGAAGGGCTTGACTCTTCTGAGACTCCGTGCCAGCTAGAAAGTGTGTGGTGGTGCATGCTTTCTCTGTCATATCTGCAGAGAATAGTTCACAGCTCCTGGGTGAGCTCTGAGCTTGGACATCCTCTTATCAAAGCCAAAGCTTGTTTGAGTGACACAGTGTGTTTTCAGAACAGCATAATGATGGGTTGGGAGATTGTCTTTACCCCTGTTGCCTGAGTAAGCCTGAACTAATAGAGAAGTTACACAGAAGTACATCTCAGGACCAGAACTCTGGGAACTTCTTCAAAGACTGATCCACACTCTTACCCATGGCCATTTCCTGCCCCTGCTTCTCCCAGGGCCTCTGCTCTGTCTTTAGGTTGGCCTTGGTGCCCCTCACTCTGAGATCCACAAGATGTTCCTTCATGCTCTTGGGGAAGGTCTTGAAATAAAGCACACCAAAAATGAAGACATCAATTACACATAAAATACCTTTGTCTTCAAGGGGTACTGGTTTCCTGGTACCCAGGAAAGGTGGGAGGGAACACACAGCTTGTGAATGTCAGAAAGCGCTGAGAACCATCTTTACTGATTCCGGTGGTGATACCATTAGCTTGCTCTGTGACCTTGGACAAGTCATTTTACCTGTTTGGGCTAGAGAAGGGTAGGGGACAAATCCAGGCTGAACTTCTTCTAGGTGAGTCTGTATGTCTGTGTGTTCAGTCATTTAATCAAGATAAGCTTATTGAGCCCCTCAGGGAGCTGACAGTCTGGTAGGAGAGGCTGTAGAAGAGTCGTTATCTTTTTTTTTAAATTTTATTAGCGTGAGTGAGCAAGTGGGGAGGGGCAGAGAGAGGGAGGGACGGAGAGAGAGAATCTCAGGTAGGCTTTGTACTGTCAGTGCAGAGATGGATGGGAGGCTCAAACTCACAAACAGTGAGATCATGACCTGAGCTGGACACTTAACTGACTTAGCCACTCAGGTGCCCCAGGAGTCGTTACCCTAACACGACTAGTCACGTGTGTAGCACAGGAGACATAGACCCTGTGGAACATGTACAAAGCCTTTAGAGGTGTGGGTACCACAGAGTGGGTGAGGAGGCTGGAGGCTGGAGCTCGAGCCGGGGTGGGCAGGCAGAGGGTATAGGGAAGGTGCTGGGGATTTCTGCAGCCTTGCTTGTTCCGCGGGACCACACGTGTTTGCTGGACCTGTTATGAGATCCTGCAGCCCACCCACCATCGTTGTGACATTGGCAAGAGGAGCAGACTCTGGAAGCTGAGTGTGGTTGGAGCATGCAGTGTATCAGGATGATCTGTGTTGATCTGAATACTGTTGTTGTTTCAATTAAAACACTTTTTAAAATGTTTATTTATTTTTGAGAGAGAGACAGAGACAGAGGCAGAGAGAGACAGAGAAAGGGAAACACAGAATCTGAAGCTGGCTCCAGGCTCTAAGTGCAGAGCCTGATGTGGGGCTTGAACTCAAGAGATGTGAGATCGTGACTTGAGCTAAAGGCAGACGCTTAACCAACTGAGCCACCACGTACCCTGATCTGAATACTTTTTTTAATTTTTAAACAATTAAGTTTATTTATGTTTGAGAGGGAGAGAAAGAGACCGAGTGTGAGAGAGGGAGGGCCAGAGAGGGAGGGAGACGCAGAATCTGAAAGCAGACTCCAGGCTCTGAGTTGTCAGCACAGAGCTTGACTCAGGGCCTGAATCTACAAACTGTGGGATCATGACCTGAGCTGAAGTTGGACACTTAACCGACTGGGCTTCCCAGGCGCCCCTGTTTTTATGTTTTGGACCCCATTTCCCCCCTTTTGTTAAGAGAAAGCAAGAACAATAGAAACATAAGAATGTGAGGATTTGCCTGCTCTTTACAGAAATATGCTTTTTCTTGGGGAGGGAGGGATAATTTTTTCTTTCTTCTGTAGAGACAATAGACACTCAAAGGGAGAGGCAGCTGATTTGGGTTGTTGTCATCCCTGAATTACGTTCTGGCTCCTGGGCCTTGGTATCTATCTCTGTAACCACAGAGTGTGTTTCACACTCCAGAAAGAAACTTGACCCTCCCATAAAACCACATGGAGCTTTCCGGATGGCTCGTTTCTTTTTCTGGAGTGGCCAGACTCTGTGCCTGCACTTAGGCTAACACTGGGACAACAAGGCCCCAGTGCAAAGGTGACACACATCCGTGAAGCAATCCATATTTTAAAATGAATGGATAAAAAAGAGAAGTGCGTGTCCACTTTCCTGAAGCTGGGGTTCCTTTGCCTGCGCCGAAGCACATGCAGGCTGCACAAGGGGATGGGGCATGTCTTGGGGAAACAAAATCCTCCTGCAGCACCACATCCCTACCCCAGTGGTGGGTCCTGGGCTCTCTACCCATCACTCTGCGGGGCTAGGAGGGCTTTCAAGCCTCAACAGAGTAGTGTATTTTCTTGTAAGCAAAAATGGACATCAAAGGTAATAGGCCAGGCCAGCTCTGTACCCTCCCCGACCCCATCTAGGCACTGCCCCCATTTGTTGCTACTGCCTTTAGGGAGCATCCAGATGACCTGGTGGGCTTTTAATAACCCATTACTCCCATGCTCAGAGATTCTGAGTTGCTAGGTCTGGGATGGGCTGAGAATTTGCATTCCCAGTTGATGCTGATGCTGCTGGTCTGGGGACCACACTTTGAGAACCACTATGACCTTCTGGAGGGTGTGTTGGGACAGGCAGGCTCCACTCCTGAAGGCCTGTCTACTTGTGGGGAATTGCCTAGTCCTAGAGAGGCCGGTAATTTGAAAGCAGCGTTCATTGGAGTGCCAGAGGGTCCCTGGCCCTAGAGCCTTCTCTGTTGGTCTTCTCTACACTGACCCAGGATGTGGCATTTGGGGTTGTGAGTTGGGCTCTCATTGCCTCCTTCTAAGACCTTCTTTTTTCTGGTGTTGCCAAAAACTTCTTGGACCATGTTGCTCTCCTATGTAAGACCCTTCATGGGCTTGCCATTGGCCTTAAGGTAAAGTCCAAAGTCCTACAATGGCTGCAAGGCCTTTTGTGATTTTCTCCCTTTATAGCTTTGTCTCTTGCCAGCCTCCCTCTTGGCCTCTGAAATACTCCAGTGGTCACTAACCTCTTTCCTTTTTTTTTTTTTTTAATTTAATTTATTTATTTTGAGAGGGGGGAGGGGCAGAAAGAGAGAGAGCCCAAACAGACTCTGCACCATCAGGTTAGAGCCCAATGAGAGGCTTGAACACATGAACTGAGAGATCATGACCTGAGCTAAAATTAAGAGTCGGATACTTAACTGACTGAGCCACCTAGGTGCTCCACTAACCTCACTCTTCTATGAACTCACTGGATTCTTCTTGCTTTCAGGGCGTCCCATTTTGCTGGTGCTTTTCCCTGGGATGCTGTTTGCTTGTCCTCTTAGTCTGCCGTCTCCTGCTTGTCAGACCTCCGCTTAGGTATCACTTTCTCTGGTGAGCTTCCTTTGTCCCCTCTGGGACCAGTTAGGGCTTCTGTAAAGGCTTCACATCACGTTGCAGTTTTCTCACTTTGGCTCATATTGGTTGCATCAAGGTCCTGATTAACTGCCTGTTTATTTCTCTGTCTCTGGATTGTAAGGTCTCAGAAGGCAGCAAACCCATCACATGTTCATTCATGTGACCCCAGGCTTGGTGTGGTGGCTCTGTGAGGTAGATACTGCAGGGGAGGAAACTGAGGCAAAGGTAGGTTAAGTACCTGGCTTACAGACCACTGTGTTACAACCCTGGGATTCTCATTCAGGTCTCCTCCACCCAACCCCCTGGCCAGGCTTTCTGCTTTGAGGCCAAGGAGCCCCAGGCATGGTCTGCAGAACTTTCCTGGGAACATTAAAAGACTGGCTATTCCAACTTAACAAAAATGATCCTTTCCTGTTGTTTTTTTAGGTAAACTGGGAAGCGGACTCTTGAATTCACAGCTGGCTCGTGGTTTTTGCATCTCGTTCAAGTGCACTCACACAGGTAAGGGGTTAGTTCTTGGGACCTGCTAGCACTCAGGCGGCTTGTAGGAAAACTTCAGTCACGATGGTGCCCCTTAATAACCATCCAGAGTTCTCATTCATTAACAAGAAAATCCTTAAATAAAGAGAGGTTTGAAGTGGTCCCACGCCCCTGTTGAGAGTTTATGGGGTGAAGGTGTTTACCTGGCTGGCTTTCTTCTGGGCGTTGCTGGCCTTTTCACCACCCAAAATTCTTTTCTTTGTGCAGGGCTCCCTTTTCCCATCCATGTAAGCTGATCCTTAATTCTTTTTCTAGAGGCACCTAGGTGGCTCAGTCAGTTGAGTGTCTGACTTCAGCTCAGGCCATGATCTCGCAGTCTGTGAGTTCAGGCCCCGAGTCGGGCTCTGTGGCTGCCAGCTCAGAGCCTGGAGCCAGCTTCGGATTCTGTGTCTCCCTCTTTCTCTGTCCTCCCTTGCTCACGTTCTATCTCTCTCTCTTTTTCTCTCTCTCTCAAAACTAAATAAACATTAAAGATATTTTTTAAGGTTCTTTTTCTTCCCTTAAGACCCAGTCCAGATTTCACTTGTTATTTATCAAACTGCATCAGGAAGAAGCTTCTTGGAACATAGCCTTTTCCTCAGCTTTACAGCACAACCAATCACAGTGTATCTGCTCACACAGCACACTCCTTGCCATGTGAGCTTTACTTACGTGTTTGTGTGCAGTTTTTTCGTCTGGTCTGTGAGTTCCTTGGTGGCAGTCTCCCATCTAGCATGTTTCCCAGCATGGAACAGACTTTCAGTAAATGAATAAATATGTCTGACAAAATGAAACAAAGCAAAACAAAAAACCCCAGCAACTCTAGTAAGCTCAGTTAAGGCACAGCCACACACAAAAAAATCACAATATATTTCTACCCTTCAATGAAATGATTTGTAAAATGCCTTTTTGGATTAATTCTGTGCCTGTTTCCTCATGTAACCATGCATAATTCAGAGTTTACCATAATGTGTTATAAGCCAGTAGGAGATTAGACTCTTCCCCCTAATGAAAGGGAAAAGAAGTCAGGAGTGTTCATGTCATTGTCTTTCTGTGGAGTCATGAGTGATCTAGGTCCTGGAGCACCAATGTGCTAAATGACAACCTGCAGCTACGAGTTTGCTCTTGGAGAGACCACTGTCGACCAGGCCCTGGGAGCCCTGGTCAGCTCTAGGACTGAACATGTGTCTAAGTGCATAGGCAGTAAGGGAGCAATCAACAGACTTTCCCAATGTACAATCTGGAGGAAGTAAAAATATTTCTGAATGCTTTGAACATTTGTTTGAAAACACAGCTCAGGTTTAAAAAATTTTACAAAAAGCGTAAAATTTATTTTTAAATTAAAAACTTTTTTTAATGTTTTATTTATTTCTAGGAGAGAGAGAGGGAGACAGCGTGAGCAGGGGAGGGTCAGAGAGAGAGAGAGAGAGTCACAGACTCTGAAACAGGCTCCAGGCTCCGAGCTGGCAGTCAGCACAGAGCCCGACGCGGGGCTCGAACCCACGAACCGCAAGATCATGACCCGAGTGAAAGTCGGACGCTTAACCGACTAAGCCACCTGGGCGCCCCTGTTTTTAAATTTTAGAGAGAGAGCATGTGTGAGTGAGAGGGGCAGAGGGAGAAAGAGAGAAAGAGAGAGAGAGAGAGAATCCCAGGCAGACTCCACACTCAGTGTGGAGCCCAGTGTGGGGCTTGATCCCACAACCCTGGAATCATGACCTGAGCTGAAATCAAGAGCCGGACAGTCAACCAACTAAGCCACCCAGGTGCCTCTTTAATGAAAAGCTTTTAAAGCAGTGTACCTTAGTCCTCTCCAGACTTCTCAGGTCATTGGGTTCTTTGAGAGGTGCACTGATTGGCTTCATCCTGTGGGTTGGGATTAGCAACCCCCAGGGTGGTGGCTCTCTGAATATTGAAGCCAGCACGGGGCCTGGGTCTTCACCTAGGAGAATATGGTCTTGAGTCTTTGCTCTTTCCTTCCTATCCTGCTCCTCCTCGTTGTTGAGCCCTTCTAGCTGCTTTGCTTGGGTGTGTGCGGCACTAAAGCAGAGAGAAGGAAGTTATCTTCTGGTGTCTGCATTCCTAGTAGAGGTACTGGCCAACAAATTCACATAAAAGCAATCACGCAACTGTGGTTTCTTTTACCTGGTGCTGAGCCCCAGTTGTACAGCCCGCGTGGGAGAATTTAGTGGAAAGCAAAGCAGTAAAAGAAATTTGACTCTCAGTTGACCCTGTTCATGTTCGTACAATTTCCTAGGGTTTTGGTAGAGCGAGGACTTCAGTTTTGCCCCGGAATTCCCAGTCTCCATGTAAGCCAGTCTGTCTGCCATATTTGAAAAATAAATGAAGGAAGTTAATTGCAGTTTAAAAGCCCACTTGTTAAAATATGAATGAGCTTTAGCTTTATAGTAGGTTTTGGAATTTGACTGTTATTGACTATTTTGCACCATTCTTGGAGAAACTAAATGCAAGGTAGTTGTTGTGTGTCTAGTTCTTATGCTCCCAAATACATGAGGAATGCTTCCAAATTGTTAACAGTTAGCGACTCATTGAGCTTCTGGGAGATAGCTGATTCTCAGAGTGACTCCTGTTTTGCAATACAGTTCTAACCTGGTTAGAAAAAAATGCGGTGGTCAAGTCATCAAGTTACTCAGCTGTCCTCCCCCATATGGGGCTCTCACACATAGGTGTGCGCTCAGGCACACTTTACAGCCTTCTCTGGTTGAATCTTGACTACCCCACGTCCCTCTGATAAGCCCGAGATGTGCTCCAGTTCTTGAATTTTCTTAGAGCTTCTGAACTTTGTGTTCTGGACTTACAGCGTGGTGTTCTGTCATGAAATGTTTATTGTTTCTAAAGATGAGCCTATTGTGCCCTACCAGTAAAATCTGTATATCAGAGCTTGTGTGTGTGTGTGTGTGTGTGTGTGTGGTTAAGATGGCTGTTTTGGAGCATTGGCCTTGATCCAAAGACACTGTCCAGCATGGGCCCCTTGTGTCCACAGTAGACGTTTGGGAGCCATCAGAGCAAAGGCAACTAGCGGACACAGCAACTCTTCTGCTGGTCTCAGACTCCAGTGTCGTCAGTGTGCTGGTCTCTGACTGACCATTTCCTTTATTGCTGAAATGCCTGGGAACCCAGACGGCAGCTGGTTATAGATACACACAAAAAGCAAATGGGACACCCCCCCCCCACCCCGCCAGGTGCCTTTGTTTTTCTCAGGTAAAGCCTTTATCGTTTCTTCTTCTGAAAGAAGAAGCCATGTCTCCTAAATAGGCTTTTGAGGTTCATTGTAAAGCTGTACCCAGGCACTGACGTGTCTGGGAAGAGTTTGCTTTATTCCATTTCCAGGGCACATTCAGGGCATCACTTAGGAGCTCCTTTTTACTTTGATCAGGTCACTTCTGAGCTGTGATGTGTGGGCTGGTCTGCCTTATCCACTGTAGAAGCTTGTTGTTGATTTGAGAGATAACTTATAAGTACTTGTTTCCAGGAAAACTAGCTTGTAAATGGAATATCTTGGACTTTGCTTTATGAAAGGACTATTGTTTTGGCCACTCTCATGTCCTCTTTCGGTTAAGAAATGGCTGTTTCCTGTTTCTTAGCATCTTTTTACAATTACGGACCTGAGTTGGAAGGACGCTTTCGGATAACTAGTTAATAAAAGTCTCTTTTCCAAATAGGCAAACGAGTGAAAAAATTCCCTCTTTCATCTCTTTTAATGACGAAGAGTAAGTATTCTGCATTTGAAATGATTCCTTTTCTCTAGAAAGCATTTCTTACATTGAGTGGTTTCTGAGGCTTCCGGAATTCTGTTCTCTCAGGTTCCTTCTTCGAAGCTAGAGGACGTGTTTGGCTCCCTTTAGGCCGCCTCCACTGATGCTTATCTTTCTTCTCCTTTATTTCCTGATGGGCAGGCCGCGGTGCTCGCCTCCCTGCCTGGGGTGACTGCACAGTGTCCTTCTACCCTTTATGGCTACAAGCTGAAAAAGAAAACAAATAGCAGAAGCTCCCAGCGCGGCCCAGCAGGCTGGGGAAAATAGTTCTCATTCTCCTTGTTCCTGGGTTCAAAGTGCACTTCACATTTTATGGGGGTAATCAGCCCTCCCAAGGTGCTGGTTTGAGGGGGCCTGCGTCCGAGCCTGGAGGACAATTAACCGAGCCGACCTGCTCCTTTTTGCCTTCGCCTTTCTGGCTGAGTTGACGTTAATGCTCTGAGTGAGAAGGGGCCGCTGCTCCTTTGAGCGGAGCACCAGGCAGGGGTGGAGAAACATTTGATCTTGTTCAAAGGGGACGTCTCTGAAGCATGAAGATTGAACTGATTGTGACCCCACCCTGGGGGCAGCAGAAGCGCCCTCTGGAGAGCAGGCCGGGAGGAAGGGGCTGTCGGTTACTAATCCCATGGGCTTGTGGGTCTTCAGGGTCTTACATCCGTTGAAAAGAGAGAGAATTGGGGTTGAAGGTAATAAAATAGGCCTTAAATTAGAGGAGCAGGGGGTCATTTCATCTAATTTTGTGGTTGTTACTGAGGAATAAAAGGCAGAGGAGATAATTTCATTAGCCCCTCTGAGATCTTTGTCACGGTGAGATGGCATTTGGGGATGAGCGGAGCCTCATGGGTGCTGACTTTTTCCCTTCAGGGGACCGATACCTGGATTTCCGAGGCACCAGGGACGGCCTGAGGAGGCACAGTCACCATTCCGGGCCCTGTGATCAGGAACACAGTTTCTCCTGCTCTAAGTGAGTGAGAGTTAGTGACTCAGAGCAGCTGATGCGTGTCCAGCACTCTGCCAGTGACTCGGGAACATGGCATCCACACTGGAAATAATGAAATCCACCAGACGAGAGCTCCGTTAGAATTGGCATCGCGTCTCTTACTTCTGAAGAAGGCTTGCCCGTCACCTGCTGTCGTGATTTATTGGGAGCATGATGGTCATGACATTCCTTTGAGATGAGCAGTGTGCCAAGTGTTTAGTCTTATGGTGGAGAGTTGGGAGCCACGCCTTCTGTTTGCTTCATCCTGTTCTGTTCCTAATGTGTGTTCACATAGTCTAGTTTCTCTTCAGATCGTATAAATCTTTCGCCTTTTACTAATGTGTGTTCACGTCTGCTGCTTCCTAAAGCCTCATTCAGTAGGCAACTATTCCCGTCTGCCTGTGTGTGTAGAGAAGGGAGTAAGGCAGAAGTTCTGGGACTTGTTCTAGGTTCCCCAGGAGGGAAGTAGGGGAGCCGGGGTTCTCTCTCCAGACTTCCAACTTTCAAATTAAGTTCTCTGTGATTATCATTGAAGGAACAGAAGAAGGAGGAGGAGGAGAACGATACAGATTCTTCCAAGAGAAGGGAGAGAAAAGTAGTGGTTAATAGATAGTTCTCCGCACCAGCCACCAGCTGGCACCATCCCTCAAGGCAACCTCGTTTCTTTCTGAAGGGGAGCAAAGGACCAGGGTGGGCCAGACAAGACAAGGTGGGTATTAGGGGAGATTGAAGAGGGGAGGTGGGAAGGGCTATTTGCATATCTGAAACAGTCCTAAAGTGTTGAGTAACTTCTGGAAAACCTGTGCATATGATCTGGAAGGACAGTGGCATCAAGTGTCTACACCACTGCCTCTTGCTGGTTCATTTCTGCAGCCCAGCTTTTCCCACGTCCATCTTCATTTATACCCTTACTTTCTTCTCTCCAGTTTCTCCCTCCCTGTACTGCATACATTTCTGCTTAATATTTGTGAACTTACTTCTGAGGCAAAAGAGCACTTCTCTTAAGATGTGCTAACAAAAACCTTAACTGCTGTTAAGTGCCTTTAATCCTAGATCCCATTTGTATAGTTCTTACCAAAGTCGATGCCCCCATTGATTCTGGAGCTGATGTTTCCCCCTGTCCGTTGATGATGGTAATTGTACACCCCGCCCTTTCTGGTAGATGTGGGGCTCTTGGGAACTCCCAGAAAGTAAAACTCTGGCCAAGTGTTTTCCTGAAATGTTAGCTGAGGGGAATGTTTTTTGGGGGGGGGGGGGCATTTCACTTGTTTCACTAATGCTTCTCCACATTCTGTTCAAGAATCTTTGCCCTGTGGTACTTAGAGGCAAGAGTCCTCCTACCTTGGCCGGGTGCTGTTCCTTCCCTTCATGACTGCGGCTAATCAGAAGTTGGCCACACTTCAGTGCCTCTTAAAAGCTTTTCTCTCTGGCCGTGTCCAGGAAGTTGAAGTGCAGTGTCAGAAATGATGTGAGTTGATGAAGAAGAAATAAACAAACCCAGGCAACATGTGAGGAAGGCTTGGCAGCCCTGCTCCTGTTTTTCTGTAGTTTTGATCTGAAGGAACCAGATTTCCTCTATGTGAAAGGAATAGGGTGGTGGGGGTCTCTGTGCCAAGGAGCCTGAGGTGTGCATGCCTCTGGGCCTTCTAGAGGAGGGCTCCACTTAGTCTAATAAAACTCTGGGATGAAAATGAGTCGTTTTTGCTTGGCAGAATGGAGATAAGTCACACGTTTGCAGCCTGAGCTATATGTACGTGGAGTAAAAATAGCATCTGTTCATGGAAGCAGAACATTCCAGAATGCTTCAGTCCCTTCTTGGCACTAACGCAGAGAGTGGGGAATAGAAGAGCTGGAAGGGACTTAAAAGAGCTTGTCAAAGTCCTTTGATTTCAGTTGAAGGTACCAGATGACTTGACCAAGACCCCATAAGGGCAGGGGCCCCGGGATGCCTTGCTTGTTCACCTCTATAACTTTGGTCCCTTGCAGGTCGTAGGTGTTTAATATGCACTTGTTGGGTGAATGACTCATATAAATGGAGATAGGACTTCTGACTCCTAGCCCAGTGGAAGTATTTGAGGTATATCTTTGAGATATTTTTATAGGCTGGAAAAAGTGTAAGAAGTGGTGCCAAGTAGCTTTTATGTAGTTGATTGTGATTACACATCGATGAAAAAATTGAGACGTGGGGAGATTTTAACTGATTCCTTAAAGTTGGTGGTGAAGTTGAGAGAGAGACGGGCCTTCTCAGGCTTGGGGGTGGGTAGGAGGCAGGACTAGCCACACTGTTGTGTGTGTGAGCAGTGCTCGGTGGAGCTGGGCAGGGCCTGGGCTGTGGTGAGGTGATCCCCCTTGCAGCCCCCCCCCCCCCCCCCCCCCCCCAGGAGGAATCAACACAGTCGTAGAACAGACAGGCCTGAAGTTGCCCTTCCGCCCACGAATCATGCCCGTGTCTGGGAGCCGCGCCTCCTTCTGTGGCTCGGTCCCCTTACTTTCAGAGGGACATACTACCTGGGGCTCATGGAACTGTGAGGAGGAGGTGCATGTGTACAGGATACATTGGGTGTGCCTGAAGGTCAGGATGTGATTGAGTGTTTCAGGGATGGGAAGACTCCGATCTCTATACTGATAGGCCCCCTTAGCCAGGAAATCTGGGTCTCTGCCGCTGCCCACGCTCGTTTTGAAAATTGCAGCAGTGGCCTCTGTCACTGGGCTCAAGCAAGTAAATCAGGTCGCTGCAGTGTACTGTGCTTAGAAACCTACAGGGTAAGCACAACGCCGTTGCTTTCAGGCCCATGAGGCAAGACGTTGCTGTTCATTTCTCCCCCTTCTTTAACTTCCCAGTTAATCTCCAGAAGAAGATTTACTGTTATGTGGAGTTCTGGCATTTAGAATAGTCATAGGAGGTTAATTCAAGATTAAAAGTGGCCAACGAAGGGGCACCTGGCTGGCTCAGTCGGTGGAACATGCGTCTCTTGATTTCGAGATTGTTGAGTTCAAGCCTCACGTTGGGAGTAGAGTTTACTTAATAATAAAAAACAATTCTAGGGGTGCCTGGGTGGCTTAGTCGGTTGAGCATCCGACTTTCACTTAGGCCATAATCTCGCGGTTCGTGGGATCGATCCCCGCGTCGGGCTCTGTGCTGACTGCCAGCTCAGAGCCTGGAGCCTGTTTCAGTCTGTGACTCCCTCTCTCTCTGACCCTCCCCTGCTCACGCTGCCTCTCTCTCTCTCTCCTAGAAATAAATAAAACATTAAAAAAAATTTAAAAAAATTTCTAAAAGTTGCCAAAGAGAATTTGTAAGGTCAAGATTTTTTGTTTAAATTCACAAATATTGAGTAAGGACACGTTGTTTGCTACTTGGTGAGTTTCATCTATCTGATGAACCTGGTCTCTCTACCCATCCCTCGATCTTCTCAGCCTGGATGGACATATTTGTATCTCTTTAAATTGACCTCTGGGCTTCACCACACAGCCGTAATGTCCACAGGCGAATGTGCTTCCTCTGGAACTGTTGGCAATTGACCACTTTCATGTGGAATTTTCTGTGCCACCTCAGGGAGAGAACCCTGTTCTTTCTGGACATTCTTCCTCCCTGTTGGTCTTTTCTCTGGTTCACCTGACTTCTGCTGATACTGACTTCATATAATGTCTCCTTTCTTCTCTCTAGGAACTATGAGGCAGACATCCCATACCCCGGTGGGTCATAAGACAGGCCGTAGTCTAACCCTGATTGATGCCTCTAGAAAGAATCAGCTGTGTTAGCGGCTTCTGTTCTGTATGAAGGATCACAGGGCTTATTGACGTAAAGTGAGCAGGCATTCTGTAGGCCAGAGGTGAGTCTGACCAGGTCTCCAAGGCAAGAAGAAGAAAGATTACCACTGGCTAGATTATTAGAGCTTCAATATAAAGAGCAAGATTAACCTTGCCCAGTGGCAAACTTTGTGGGTTTGTGTGTGTGTGTGTGTGTGTGTGTGTGTGTGTGTGTGTATGTGTGTGAGAGAAAACCAGGCCCTGGGAAGTGATTCTGTGCTAGTGCCCTCCTATTCTGGTGTTTGAACTTCCCGTGGGGGCTGGTGTTTGGCACTGATGTGGTTATTTGTGAGCTGGTCCTATTGTGCACAGAGCTAGCCTGGATGCTTTGAAAGCGAACAGTGAATGTTTTACTTGAACTGAAAATATTCAGTGTGCAAACCCATGCAAATTAGAAACAAATTCAATTTTTAAGACTGCATATGTGTTGACAAAAACAGCTTTTGGGGAATATCTAGTTTCTTGAAATCATTTACATGTGGGGAAAACCTGATTGTTCTCTTCAGGATTCTTTTTATTTTTGTTTGTCTATTTATTTATTTATGAGAGAGAGAAAGAAGGAGAGAGGGAGGGAAGGGCAGAGAGAGAATCTCAAGCAGGATTTGAACCCATGATCTGTGAGATCATGACCTGAGCTGAGATCAAGAGTTGGATGCTTAACTGACTGAGCCACCCAGGCGCCCCTCTCTTCAGAATTATTAAAACTATAAACAAATGTGAGGTGGGAGTGTCTGATTCCCCAGCTGTGAGCCTTGAGCGTTTGTGAAGGGTAATTTAGAAAGCAGACCTTTTAGTGGAAAAGTGTTTTAGCATTAACTTGTTCATGAAGGCACACTTTTTATTTCTTTACTTATTTTATTGCATGTGGCATAGTTTCATTTCAGTACTTCTTATCTTCTTCTTTTTTTTTTTTTAAGTTTTTAAATTTATTGTGACAGAGAGAGCAAAAACCAGCAGGGGAGGGGCAGAGAGAGGAGGAGACAGAGGATCTGAAGTGGGCTCTGTGCTTGCTGTCAGTGCAGATCGTGATGTGGGGCTCAAATGCACGACCTTGAGATCATGACCTGAGCCAAAGTTGGCTGCTTACCAGACTGAGTTTCCCAGGTGCCCCACTCCTTATCTCTTTTCTTTTTCTTTTTCTTTTTAAAGCAATCTATGAGGGGGGTCTGTAACCATAGTGGCAGAAGAAAAGTTAATGGAAGTTTATATAATACCATTCATATTTATAAAATTAAATGCTCAAATGTGATAGAATTGTGTATTCACAGGATTCCAACTTACTTATAAAAATTTAATGTTAATAAGCTAGGTGATTGGTTCATATTCATGATTTCTTATTGTGAAGTGAAATAGTATCTTGAAATCATTTATATATACACTCATTAATTGCTCCCCAAATAAGGTATAAATCATGTAAGTCTAGTTTTATAGAGAGTAGGAGTGTAAGTATCCAAGTTTGTGGTTATTTTGCAAGTATCTTGCTCTTGATTTTACAATTCAGAGAATTTTAAAATTTGGAGAAGTCTTTAATGTGCCCCATCTGTCTTGTCTTGCATTTATTCCTTCTGTATTGTCTCTAGCTCATCATATCCCTGCTGTGCTCTTTCCTGAGAACCGGGATTAAATCCCTGATCCCCACCTAGTTTAATCAGTCTCTGTTTATAACACCTGAGCCCTAGGGTCATCTTGAGAGGACCGAGGTTTTCCTGCAGTCTGGCCAGGCCAGGTCCCAAGGATGTCTTGGTCTTTGTCTTGTGGTGCTTACTGGAGCCCACTTGTACCTCACAAGCAGCCCAACTCACCCTGAAACTAAGGACCAGGCATTTTCTGTAGCCTAAAAATGGTAATGATTAAATACACAGGACTGGATTTTGTTTGGTGATTATGCAGTCTGATTAA